ACTGCTGATCAATTCCCAAATCAGTTTTTAGATCTACCTCCTTTCATTCATTTCTATGACGAATCAACTTGCAGAGACTTGCAGCTTGTCTCACACTGAGACGATCCATCAAGTCAACATTTACTCACCTTTATTTTTTTTGGTCAAAGTCATGTTATTGTGGTAACTGCTTGGAAAACTCCCTGTTAGTGCACTGAAGGACACCTGGGTGTTTAAAAGTTGAGGGATGAGCTGCTTAGAAGAAGCCACAAAACTCACATGAGTTTGACGAGTTTTGCGTCATCTGGATGCCTTTTGCTGGTGGATGGGCGGGGAGCTTTGGGGCCTCGAGGCACTAGGGAAAACAAACACTGTTCATCTTACACACTGCCCACGCAGCGGTGACACAGACAAGGTAGGAAAGTGGCAGTTTTCCTTTAAGTAAAAGTAGCAACACCACAGTGTAAAAGCTGTCCATTAGAAATAAATGTCCTGCAACTTATTTCCTATTTCTTACTTCCTACTTCCTACATAAAATTAGAGAAGTATTATCAGCAAAATGTACTTCAAGTATCATCATTATGCAGCAGAAAGACTTGAGTGTTATTCTAAATACTCTGCTTATTATGCCTTTCACATAAATGTAAAAGCAGCAATTAGATTTTAACAATTTTATATCCTGTAGCATAGCATCATTATTTTCAGGCAGAAAAAAACAAAATTATAATCTACAACTCTGAATGTCGAATAAATGACATGGGGTGAAAAGTAAAATTAGGAACATCCTGAACAAGTTTTTTGGGGCCCGATCAGAGACATTTGATATTGATAAAAGTCTGATTTGATACTCAGATAAGCTGCAACCTGAAAATGAGCTAACACAGTCCTTAAGTCATTGCAAGAGAAGTGTTTTTTGCTTAGTATACATCATAAAAATAAATATATAGGCCTCCATATTAGCAGCATGTTTATCAAACATGTATCCGACACATATAAATAACAGCCGTAACTACTAATTATTGGTGCACCTACTTGATCCAAATACCAAAGGCTCTGATTCAAAACTATTAAAATGATGATTGATGACTATTAAAACTGAAAGTTGACCCAGTAGAGTGCCACTCCCCAAATTGTCATAATGGGATCAGGTGATGGTTTGAAGAGTTGTTACTGTTGTTACTGTTGTTACTACAAACACAGTCTGCTCGTGGTTGCATGCTGACATTACAGAGCTTCTACCCCCAAACAGTCTTTTATTACAGACACAAACCTGATGACAGCCAAGTTTAGTTTTGCCTATTACTTTTGCCTGTGAATTGTTGGTAGAAGAAGTACTCAGACTCTGTACTAAAGTAAAAGTAAAAATACCATGGTCTAAGAATACTAATCATTACAGGTAAAAGTCTTGAATTCAAAATGTTGCTTAAGTAAAAGTGAAGAAGTATTACTACAGATTGGCCTTAAAGTATCAAAAGTAGAAGTACTTATTATAAAGAATGGTTCCTTTCAAAGTGCTATGATGTTATTAAAGAATATTAATGCTGTTTTTATCACTAACAAATGCATGCAAGAATGTTTTAATCTTGTAGTTTGTCAATGTGGAGCAAGTTTTAGTTGCTTTGTATATTACCAGGTAGCGTAGTAGTGTAGTGCTGCATCATATCATGTAAGCACATCATGTTTATTACCATAAAAACCAGGCTATTAAAATGCTTAAATCCCCAAACCCAACAGGCTTATATGTGGGACAGGTGTCTATATGGGACAGGCCTTAACTCCTTTTACATAAAACTATTACGCAGCAAAGGTGGGAAAAAAATAGGCTTCAAATAACATACCAGTGACAAATCATTCATTTGATCTAGCTCCCACAGACAGGACCTCTTAGAGAGATAGCATGATGACACTTGTTTTACAGCACTCGAGGATTACAGCACCCGGCATACCAACACAACAAGACATTATCCTGTTAAAACAGTTTTCACAAATTGGATTAATTTTTATGAAAAACCCCTTTGATTCTTTTGATCAGTGGACCCTTATGGACTAAAGTAATGTGAATAGCTCACTGGGTAATTGAGGAATGGACACACACACATTCTAACTTTATGATAGCTTCTGAGGAAGGGAGTCACCACTTGTTTTATCATCATGCTAGTAAACCGGAATGAATGATGGTCTTCTCTGGAACTCATGGTATCAGTAAAATGAACTTCACGTTTGAATTGTTCAGAATCTAAATGTAAACATTTATATTTGTATGTGTGATCTAAACAGCTAACTGATGTTAGTTCCAGTGAGTAGCCAACAACTGGCTTCACACATCCAAAGATCTTCTATAGAAATAAACTGTTTGGCAATCAGACCACGCGTCCAATCAACACAGGTCTTTATCTGTCAAAATGTGTAGCCACATCGGGCAAGTAAAAAGGATTGGGCATTAAACGTGGACTAGGCTTTTTTAGGGTATGGAAAAACTAAGTGTCAATTAAATGTGGACTAAAAAGTACAGTATTTCCCTTTGAAATGTAGTGGAAGTATAATCTGGCATATAAATGAAATACTCAAGTTAAAATACAAGCATGCCAAATTTGTACTTAAATACGTACTTTCAAAAAATTATTTAGTAACTTTCTGCCAGTGTTTTTTTCTCAGTGTCCATTCCTCACTGTTTGTCTTGCCTTGCCTGGGTTTGATTTTTTTGGACAACAGAGCTCAGCACTGGATTTTATTTTGGCTGTTCCTGTGCGTGTGTGTGTGTTTGTGATCTCAGTTGGTCTCAGTGTGGGTAACTTGGTCATTAATAATAAAGACCTCTTCTCATCTCACCACAAAACATCTTCGCTCTGTTTCATCTCTCGAGGTTGGAACACACTACTATTTATTTAGAGCTCATTTAAAGTAATTAATTATTAGTGGTTAGCTTTGTTAGCTTTTACTGATGTTTTTATTGTGCCAGAGTGATTTATGTATTTTGTATCTTGTCTGTGGCTTGTTATGTCTGTGTATTGCATGCTTTTACTATGTATGTTTCAATTAGTGCCAAATAATGCAACACAATGTTTTGTTTGGTGGTTATCTCCCATTTTATTGCTTTGCATGTCATGTATCATGTGCTTCAGTGATGCATATGTAGTTTTAGCCTAATTATATACTGTTGGTGCTATTTCAGTCATTTAAATTATATACAGTACAGGCCAAAAGTTTGGACACACCTTTTCATTCAATGCTGTTTCTTTATTTTCATGACTATTTACATTGTAGATTCTCACTGAAGGCATCAAAACTATGAATGAACACATGTGGAGTTATGTACTTAACAAAAAAAGGTGAAATAACTGAAAACATGTTTTATATTCTAGTTTCTTCAAAATAGCCACCCTTTGCTCTGATTACTGCTTTGCACACTCTTGGCATTCTCTCCATGAGCTTCAAGAGGTAGTCACCTGAAATGGTTTTCCAACAGTCTTGAAGGAGTTCCCAGAGGTGTTTAGCACTTGTTGGCCCCTTTGCCTTCACTCTGCGGTCCAGCTCACCCCAAACCATCTGGATTGGGTTCAGGTCCGGTGACTGTGGAGGCCAGGTCATCTGCCGCAGCACTCCATCACTCTCCTTCTTGGTCAAATAGCCCTTACACAGCCTGGAGGTGTGTTTGGGGTCATTGTCCTGTTGAAAAATAAATGATCGTCCAACTAAACGCAAACCGGATGGGATGGCATGTCGCTGCAGGATGCTGTGGTAGCCATGCTGGTTCAGTGTGCCTTCAATTTTGAATAAATCCCCAACAGTGTCACCAGCAAAACACCCCCACACCATCACACCTCCTCCTCCATGCTTCACAGTGGGAACCAGGCATGTGGAATCCATCCGTTCACCTTTTCTGCGTCTCACAAAGACACGGCGGTTGGAACCAAAGATCTCAAATTTGGACTCATCAGACCAAAGCACAGATTTCCACTGGTCTAATGTCCATTTCTTGTGTTTCTTGGCCCAAACAAATCTCTTCTGCTTGTTGCCTCTCCTTAGCAGTGGTTTCCTAGCAGCTATTTGACCATGAAGGCCTGATTGGCGCAGTCTCCTCTTAACAGTTGTTCTAGAGATGGGTCTGCTGCTAGAACTCTGTGTGGCATTCATCTGGTCTCTGATCTGAGCTGCTGTTAACTTGCGATTTCTGAGGCTGGTGACTTGGATGAACTTATCCTCAGAAGCAGAGGTGACTCTTGGTCTTCCTTTCCTGGGTCGGTCCTCATGTGTGCCAGTTTCGTTGTAGCGCTTGATGGTTTTTGCGACTCCACTTGGGGACACATTTAAAGTTTTTGCAATTTTCCAGACTGACTGACCTTCATTTCTTAAAGTAATGATGGCCACTCGTTTTTCTTTAGTTAGCTGATTGGTTCTTGCCATAATATGAATTTTAACAGTTGTCCAATAGGGCTGTCGGCTGTGTATTAACCTGACTTCTGCACAACACAACTGATGGTCCCAACCCCATTGATAAAGCAAGAAATTCCACTAATTAACCCTGATAAGGCACACCTGTGAAGTGGAAACCATTTCAGGTGACTACCTCTTGAAGCTCATGGAGAGAATGCCAAGAGTGTGCAAAGCAGTAATCAGAGCAAAGGGTGGCTATTTTGAAGAAACTAGAATATAAAACATGTTTTCAGTTATTTCACCTTTTTTTGTTAAGTACATAACTCCACATGTGTTCATTCATAGTTTTGATGCCTTCAGTGAGAATCTACAATGTAAATAGTCATGAAAATAAAGAAATCGCATTGAATGAGAAGGTGTGTCCAAACTTTTGGCCTGTACTGTATATACATATATTTAGTCTATATTTGTGTGTGACTTTGTAACATCTGCCTAAGAACTACAGATGAAAAATGACCATTTGACCTACTCTGCCACATTTACAGCAATATTTATTAATGTGCACAGTTACTGTTAAATAACCCAATGAATAAATAAATAAATAAATAAATAAGTGAGATGAATTCTTTTTTTCTCTCCATCTCTAGGTGTGTTACCTGTTACTGATGTTGCTGTAGAGTCGTCAGTCGCCTCTGACTGACTGACTGACCCTGACCAGACACACAGACAGGCAGATATGAAGAGTGGATCACAGGGAATGGACGCCAGCACTGCTCCAGGTGGGTCATCTTACTTCAACAGTGGAAATCATTAGCCAAAAGTAGTGGACATAAGTAAAGAATAAACATTTGAAATACTGGATGAAAATATGGATTAACAGCTTAAAATGAGCTAAAAATAACAAACAGTTGAAATACAGTAGTTAGCTAAAAGTAATGGATAAAAAGTTGGAATAGTTTGCTAAAAGTAACGTATAAACAGTTGGAATAGTTAGCTAAAAGTAATAGATAAAGAGTTGAAATAGTTGGCTAAAAGTAATGGATAAAGAGTTGAAATAGTTAGCTAAAGGTAACAGATTAACAGTTGGAATAGTTTGCTACAGGTAATGGATAAACAGTTGGTATAGTTAGCTAAAAGTAACAGATTAACAGTTGGAATAGTTAGCTAAAGTAATGGATAAATAGTTGGAATAGTTAGCTAAAAGTAATGGATAGACAGTTGAAATAGTTAGCTAAAGTAATGGATAAAGTGTTGGAATAGTTAGCTAAAGTAATGGATAAACAGTTGGAATAGTTAGCTAAAAGTAACGGATAGACAGTTGAAATAGTTAGCTAAAAATAATGGATAAAGTGTTGGAATAATTAGCTAAAAGTAATGGATAAAGTGTTGGAATAGTTAGCTAAAAGTAAGGGATAAACAGTTGGAATAGTTAGCTAAAAATAACGGATAAGCAGTTGAAATAGTTAGCTAAAAGTAACGGATAGACAGTTGAAATAGTTAGCTAAAAGTAATGGATAAAGTGTTGGAATAGTTAGCTAAAGGTAACAGATTAACAATTGGAATAGTTAGCTAAAAATAACGGATAAGCAGTTGAAATAGTTAGCTAAAGTAACGGATAAACACTTGGAATAGTTAGCTAAAATTAACAGATAAACAGTTGGAATAGTTAGCTAAAAGTAACGGATAGACAGTTGTAACAGTTAAATAAAAATTAACAGATAAGCAATCAGAATAGTTAGCTAAAAGTAAAGGATAAATAGTTGGAATAGTTAGCCTAAAGTAACAGATGAACATTAAGGTAAAAGTAACAAAGAAATGACTGAAAGATCCAGCATCTGACACCAGTGCTAGCAGTATGAATGCAACTGGACCAATCAACCAAAAATGAACAGTTAAATTGTATAAAAAAATATTGTACATGTTTGTAGTGTTACTTTATTTGGAACATGACAGGTGGTACAAATGAAAGGGTACTTGAGCTTATCTGATCAGGATGAAGGGGAACAGGAACATTGTGAATTGTTTGGTGGCACAAATTCAAATGTCACAGTTTCTCAAAGTTGAACAGCAGGTGACAGATTTATTTTTTCACAGTTAGTCTTAAAATAAATTGGAATTCAATGTGATATTACATTGTCATTAATTCTGGGCTCTCTGTCATGTCTTTATTGTCCCTTATCAAAGTGGTCATTGAAAAGAACAGTTAGGTGACCTATACATACAGGGCAGGACCGGTGCGTGTGACCATCAAGCTCGACTCACCTGCTGTGTGTGTTTGTATTCAGTCAGTTGTAGTTTCTGTCTGTCAGGTTGAATACCTACCAAACCTGATTGATAGCTTCATAGTAGTCAGGGTTTCTAACAGAATTGTTTGTTGATTGATCCTCAGATCCCAGAGTGCAGTCAGACTGCAGCTTAGCGTGTCTGCGACGTCGGGCCTGGGCCCAGAGCAGAGACTCCATCTGGCAAGAATCAGAAGCAGAGAGCCTTGACTCCCAGGGGCCCCAACAGAGCCAGAGGGACGGGGGAGAGCAGAGACCCTCAGAGGATCCAGGTTAGACTGAGCTAACCAATGTTGTAACTGGGGATTTTGGACTGGGGAATCTTGCTAACCGTTTCCTTAATAAGAATAAAATTTCGGATTAACTCTTTATTTCAAACCCCTATATGCCAAAGTCAGAGCTAAATATGGCCCATTATCACACCATTTTATCTCATTACAGTTATGTCAGTATCACTGTGTATGGTGGCTAATAAGCAACAAGAAATAGGACAGAAAGGTAGATAGTAGGCTTACATGAGATAACTTAGAAACAGTGTCTCCATTATAGTAAGCACTGACAAGTTTATGATTTGTTTATTTGTCACAGTAGAAAACAAATATTGGCAAATATATTGTTTTTTTAAACTGTTAAATATTGATATTGGTATGGCTTCAAAAACCCAGCTCTCATGCTGAAGTGTGTTAAGCTGCAGTACCCCTAATGTCCACTAGATACTACTCTAAAAAAACATGGACTGCGTTGAAGTGAATGGGGGGGGGGGGGGGAACAAAATCACTTATTTTTTCTATACTGTAAGAAGATATTTAATATATATTTTTATGTAACTGTTACGTCACAATATTTGTCGGGTTTCCATCCAAATGTTGTGCAAATTTTAACAAACTTTTCAGTAATTTGGCTGAAGAAATGCACATTTATGTGCTTTTACATCAACTACTCTGATGCGAATATTGGGAGTTGATTTATCAAGATAAGCATTAGGGCGCAACAAGATGACAAAATTAAAAGAATGCCAGTTAAACCTCAAACAAAACAATGGATTTATTACAACAGAGAGAACACTGGACAGTTGAAGCAGAGAGTCTTAAACTGCAGCTTTGAGCTCTTGAAAGAGTTCTGGTTAAAGCCCTGTGTGCACACATAAGAATGTTAAAAGCCATTCAGAGAGGACGAAGAGCTTGCAGCGGCCTGTGTTATGATGATATGACAAAATTGTATCCAACTTTGTTCTAAAAAGAAATTTAAATAAAAAACTGTCATACTGTTAACTAACAGTAAATGGGTCTATATATCATGCATTGAGATATAGCCCCAAAATATCGTGATATAATTTTCATGACATATTGCCCGGCCCTAAACACACTAAACTAACATGGTGAATACAGTAAACATTATACCTGCTAAACATCAACATGTTTGTATTGTCACTATGAGCATGTTAGCATGATGATGTTAGCATTTAGCTCAAAGTACAGCTGTGCCTAAGCTCATCCTCACAGAGCCACTGGTAAGGCTGCAGACTCTTAGTCTTGTTTAAACATGCACAATCCTCTCACGTCACTGAGACCATTTCTTTCTTAAATATAAACTACTTTTGGATATTTGGACTTTGATAATCAATTAATTAAGTCATTCACTAAGCAAAAATATCAAACATTCACTGGTTCCAGCTTTTCAAAAACAATTATAGATGTCACACTGGGTTCCTGGAAACTTCATGGGCCATTTTTCACTAAATAACTAATTTCAAAAATAATGGATATATTAAATGTTAATAAAAATTATGAATAGCTAGTGCTACAGCAGTGTGAGCAGGAACTGAGTGTGGCCCATTTATGTGTAAACTGTGGTGGAATTGCAGCCTGTTGGCACACTGACTATAATCAGCTGAGATGTTGAGTTACATCCTGATGTCTAGCACCACTGTAATACTTTTTATAGTGTGTCGTAACAACTGTTGCACACCACATCTGCTGGCTTATTGCGTTAACACGCTCATCTGTCTCTCTCTGTCAGGGCAAGTTCCTAACAAGATCACCAGCTGGCTGATTGACTGCAGGTACAGTAACCATACACCACCTGATTAAAGGAACACAGCAATGTTTTTCAATGTCCTGTTTTAGCCTGTTTGCTACATGTCATATATGAGATTTCAGATCACTTGATAACTTAAGATAAAGCTGACATAAGCTGAGTGCAGCCAGTTGCTGTAAGTTGATTTTCTGAGAGGTGAACTGAAATCAGTGACTATCTATAAGCAGTAAAATCAATCATAAAATTGATAGAGGATTAGAAAGTGATCAATATTAATGTACAGTAAACAGACTTGAAAATTGAAATGACAGGGTCCTTAAAATTCCGAATGATTGGTTGAGTGGCTCACTGGTTTCCTTGCTGACTGGTTTATTGATATGTTGTCCCGGTGTCTGGAGGTGCATGTGTGTGTTTAGTAGCGACGTTATCAGCTGCTGACGTAGGACGGACACACAGCCTACGCCTAGACATACAACACACAGAACACACACATACAAAGGCCGCAGACCAACGCCCAGAGATAGGGGACACAGAGCAGTTCATGCGAAAGAAAGAAGGAAAGAAGGAAAGAAAGATGCAGGAAGAAGCTGACAGAAGACGGAAAGAAAGGAGAGTAAACAGAGGAGGGGTTTCTCCCTGCTAAGTCAACACGGTGTCACACTCACACAGACAGAACTTTCGCTGCTGTCACTCACAACCCTGTGGCTGTACAGTGCTCTTATGTGTCCTCTGGCACGTCACCGTAGTAACATGACCAGCACAGTTAGAATCACAGGTTGCTATAGCAACAGCCACAGGCAGGGGCTTGAGGCCAACATGGCTGCCGGAGGAAAATGGGAGGATTACCAAATACTGCGGCTGCGCACTGTTACACAACCGTGTGTGTGTGTGTGTGTGTGTGTGTGTGTGTGTGTGTGTGTGTGTGAGAGCGTGTGAGAGTGTGTTAAATGGTGGCATGAAGTTTGTCCCATTGATAAGAGTGGCAGGTTGTATAACAGCTCAGTGTTCCCAGCGTCCGGCTGCAGACAGCAGCTCAGATCCGCTAGCTCACTGCTAGCGTCAACTTGCCTGGTCTGTCAGCCAGTTAGCCTGGGACAACTAGTCTGGTCAGTAGAACACACCTGGGACTGGTACCAACAAACAGGATTTAGCCTGGGATGTTTAGTCTAGCCTGGTCAGGAGTGGACTACCAGGAGTAGCCTGGTCTGACAAGGAGTTATTCTGGATCGTTAGCCTTTGCCTGACAGGCAGTCAGCCTGTATTAATTAGCCTTAGCCCAATAGACAGTCAGCTTGCGTTACCTAGCCTTAGCTTGACAGGTAGTAAATCTTTGGTACTTAACCTTAGCCCAATGGACAGTTAGCCTGTGTTGCTCAGCCTTAGCCCGACAGGTAGTTACCCTGCGTTACTTAGCCTTAGCTTGACAGGCAGTTAACTTGCGTTACTGAGCCTTGGCTTGACAGGCAGTTAACTTGCGTTACTGAGCCTTGGCTTGACAGGCAGTTAACTTGCGTTACTGAGCCTTGGCTTGACAGGCAGTTAACTTGCGTTACTGAGCCTTGGCTTGACAGGCAGTTAACTTGCGTTACTGAGCCTTGGCTTGACAGGCAGTTAACTTGCGTTACTGAGCCTTGGCTTGACAGGCAGTTAACTTGAGGGACCTAGCCTTGGCCCAACAGAAAATTAGCCTATGTTACTTAGCCTTAACCTGACAGGCATTTAGCCTGCATTACTCAGCCTTAACCCAACAAGCAGTTAGCCCTAGTTACTTAGCCTTAGCCCAACAGACAGTTAGCCTGCGTAACTTAGACTTAGTCTGACAGGCAGTTAGTTAGCCTGTGTAACTTAGCCTCAGCCCGAAAGGCAGTTAGTTAGCCTGTGTAACTTAGTCTCAACCTGACAGGCAGTTAGGCTGTGTTACTTAGCCTTAGCCTGACAGGCAGTTGGGTAGCCTGCGTAACTTAGTCTCAGCCTAAAAGGCAGTTAGTGAGCCTGCGTAACTTAGTCTCAGCCTGACAGGCTGTTGGGCTGCGTTACTTAGCTGTAGCCCAAAAGACAGTTGGCCTGCGTTACTTCAGCCTGAGTTAGTTAGACTGGGTAACTTAGCCTCAGCCGGACGAGCGGTTAGACTGCTTTACGTAGCCTTAGCGAGACAGACCATTAGTCTGCATCACGTAGCCTTAGCCCATCATGCACTTAGTGTGTAACTTAGCCTAAGCCTGACGAGCGGTTAGACTGCTTTACTTAGCCTTAGCACGACAGGCCATTAGTCTGCATCACTTAGCCTTAGCCCGACATGCAGTTAGTACGCCTGCGTAACTTAGCCTCAGCCTAATGGGCTGTTAGCCTGTGTTACTTAGACTTAGCCTGTGTTGCTTGGCCTTAGCCTGGCAGGCATTTAGTTTTAATGTTGGTATAATCGATCTTAGTCTGACTGGTAGTTAGCCTGGGATTGTTACCCTTCAACTGACAGACACCTAACATTGGCATAGTTAGCCTTGGCCTGACTAGATTGGGACTGTTCTATTTAGCCTTACAGGAGATTAGCCTGGAATAGTTATCTTAAGACATCCTAGGAGGTGTAATGGTATCCTTAGCCATATCATGTTCTGTGGTAATCTGAGAAACTTTACCTTAGCCTGACAGGCAGTTAGGGCTCTTCTAGACTGTCGAAAGGTTATTGGACGAAGCGGATCAAATCTTGATGGTGAAACAAGTCATACTGTGGGGTTTGTGCCACTCACAGATGTTTCTTTCTCAATGTAAGCCTATGGGAAAAAGACTTTTTAGGACCAGTGACATCATGTGACAAACCCAGAGTTGTAGTTACACGCTTTGGCCACTGTGTCAAATTGGCTTCAAAGTCTGGGGTACCTCCTGGGGGCCTGGTCGGCTTGAGATAATTACCCTCAGTTAGTCTAGTATTTGTAGCCTGGTTTGTTGTTAGCAAACCTAGCCTGGTAAGGACAATATATAACTCTCTCTGTCTCTATGTCTCTTGTCCAGGACTCCCCTCGGAGCCTCTCTAGATGATCAGACTGCTTCTCCCAGCAAAGGTAATCCAGGTTTTCTGTCTGTCTGTTTTTTTATACATTGTGAGGACCCCAACCTGTAAGGACACTTTCAAGGGACGTAGATTAAACTCTTGCAACCAGCCATCACAACTTGTTTTAAAAGTTAGGATTTGTTTTTTGTTCGCTAGCAGTTCAGAATCGGTAAAGAAATGTCTCTTACCCTAAGTATCCATGGATATGTTACCGAAGGATTTCATAACTACTTTGTGTACTCTGTGTGTGTGTGAGAACAGGAGTGCTGAAGAACGGCTGCAGCTTTGAAGATGACCTTTCACTGGGAGCTGAAGGTCAGTCCTGAGAATAACTCACAATACAAACAAGATTACAAATCTCTGCTCATTGTTAACAGTTTCCCCCCATGTTCTGCTAATTCGACTCCAACATAAGGAACACTTTGACATTTGGTAAATCATGTCCTCCATCTAACCTATGGTCAGATAGGAAGATGGATAAGGGTAGAGCTTTCCCTCAAACACTGATGATTTGAATTAGTAGTAAAAAAAAAAAAAGCTCAGATTTGGAGGGCAACGGGTTTTAATACTTATTTCTATGCCAACAATCCCTGTGGTAGCCATTTCAACATACCAAAGTTCCTAGGCCACTTAGTTTGTAGGGTGTCTCGGTTTTGACTCGTGTTTTTGTTCCTTTTCTGGAGATCCACAGTACTCACATGAGGCAGGGGAAATGTATAACAAGGTTTATTGAAATAAAAAAAAAAAAACGTCATCCGCAATCTCCTACTGTCATGCACACTAAACTGCCTTATGGCATTAGTGCATATATTGACAGTAGTTTTTATCAGACAGGAACAGTGAGTAGACATACTGAGTGTGATTAAGAACAAGTTTGTAGTCACTGTTCATTGTTAATGCGGTTCAACAATGGGCTCCATGTTTTCAAGAGCAGGGGCCAGTGTCAAACATAGACTAAGAAAGCTAAACAGTTAAAAGGATATTTTATTGTAAAAAATTTACTGAGGTTAAAGGTTAAAGGTTTAGTGTTATTGTCATTATACAATACAGGATTGCACAATGGAATGCATATATCATAAGAATACATGCATATACATAATAAAGCAATAAAAAAGAACAAAGTAGCACTAAGGGAAAAAATAAAAAGGAAAACTACACTACCACTTTATTAGGTACACCTCATCAACTTCTTGCTAACGCAAATAACTAATCAGCCAATCATGTGGCAGCAACTCAGTGCATTTAGGCATGTAGACATGGTCAAGACGACCTGCTGAAGCTCAAACTGAGCATTAGAATGTGGAAGAAAGGTGATTTCAGTGACTTTGAACGTGGCATGGTTGTTCGTGCCAGAAACTGCTGATCTACTGGGATTTTCACACACAACCATCTCTAGGGTTTACAGAGGATGGTCTGAAAAAGAGAGAGAGAGAAATGGTAGGGTCTGAAATTGGTGTAAACAACATGAAAGCATGGATCCATCCTGCCTTGTATCAACGGTTCAGGCTGCTGCTGGTGGTGTAATGGTGTGGGGGAGATTTTCTTAGTACCAGCTGAGCATGGTTTAAACACCACAGCCTACCTGAGTATTGTTGCTGACCGTGTCCATCCCTTTATGACCACAGTGTACCCATCTTCTGATGGCTACTTCCAGCAGGATAACGCACCATGTCACAAAGCTCAAATCATCTCAAACTGGTTTCTTGAACATGAGGATGAGTTCACTGTACTCTAGTGGCCTCCACAGTCACCAGATCTCAATCCAATAGAGCACCTTTGGAACGTGGTGTAACGGGAGATTCACATCATGGACGTGCAGCCAACAAATCTGCAGCAACTGTGTGATGCTATCATGTCAATATGGACCAAAATCTCTGAGGAATGTTTCCAGCACCTTGTTTAATCTATGACACCAAGAATTAAGGCAGTTCAAAAGGGGGTCCAACGTGGCACTAGAAAGGTGTACCTAATAAAGTGGCTAGACCGTAGTTCATAGTGGGAATAAGAGAAATGATATGGTTAAAAGAAGACCAGAAGAAGAATATTTTTCTGGTCTCACAAAGAGCTTATGAAGAAAAAACTAATAACAAGCATCATTAGTATTATAAGACTCTTTGTGTGTTGTGCAAAAATTCCTTTGATATAATGAGAAACAGCTCGATCATGTGTGTAAATGAAGACATCTGTCAAACACAACAGTGTCTGTAAAATCAACAGAACCTGGTGTGAAACACAGCGATACACCGCTCCATCCTCATTCCTGTCTTGTTTCTTCATGAGGAGAAAAGTCAACAATCACAGAGGTGTGGAAACACACTGCATGCATGACTTACTGTCTTCTGAATGTGAGTCTGTGTGTGTTTTCATTATTTGTCTGAACTGCTGTGAATACATCAGTAATGGCTCTGATAGTGAAAGGGTTTATGTGTTACTGAGATAACAATAGACTGTAATGGCTTATTGTTAAAGCACTGAATGCTGGCATGTAGGTATGCTCTGTATGTGTGTGTGTGTGTGTGTGTGGGCCGAGGGTCAGCTTGCTTGTAGAATTTGGGACTGAATAGATGCTAATGAGTCGATGCTGAGAGGCCACAGGTTGTATAGATTTGATCAGAGACACCTTGTTCAGGAACAGCAGCCAGTTGTCTAACAATATACAGTGTGAGTTTCCTTCATTCAATTTCATACACAGTAAAAAGAAATTAGACAACAGCAGCCGCTCTTTTGCTGTCCCTCAAATCATTTCAGCATTGATAATTGTTTAACTAGTAATTCCGCCTTTCTGTAGTAATGTCTGACCGGTTCTCCAGCTTAGTTTCCTGAACCTGGGTGAAATTTTTAGTCAGTAAATTCCTTGCTACCGTTGAAAAACCTCGCCCATGTTCTTAGGAATAGTTTGCAAAGTGCTGCGCGACCTCAACATTTTTCTGTCAAGTGCAATCACTGCTGGAAGGCTTTGTTATGCTGTATGTGCTGGGGTTATTATTCATGCATGACACAATAATAATAATAATAATGATATCAAACTAAAGAATAGTGTCGAGGTAATTAGAGTGACTTTAAACTTACAACTTCTCCTCAGTTAGTGCCACTAAGACTGAGTGTGAGTTTCTAAATATTCCTGCTGCCTCCGAATATTGCGTCCTCTTTTATCTTCACTCATTACAATCATAGAAATAAACTAAATAGAAAGCACATTGAACTGTTTGCTGAGGTCATTAGTACAAAGGAAAGTGGTGATTGTTGTCAGCTGTTACGGTGCCACATTTACGCCTCGTTTCCACTTATGTTTATGTACGAAGACAAGGCAACTGAAGGTCAATTCATTCCTATGGGAATCTCTGTGATATCTGCCTGTGAAACTCCTCCCCTCAGTACTATTTTGGTCTGGAACTTGCCTCTAGTACATTAAAAAAATTGAACTTTTGTGGTGGATTTCGGAGAGACCGTATGACAGTGTGCTAGTTATGCTAACAGGCTGCTAACTGGCTAACCGGCTATTTTCCTCAATTCAGTTACCTGTGTTGTCAAGTGAGTTTATTTGATTGAAAAGAACTTGATTATCCAAATTTAACACATTGTGTGTCTGAGTAGTAGTAGTGTTCTACAAAAATATGTTTATCCATTATATTCAGTCAGATCGTCATTATGACTCATTCAGCCATTCATACATCTGTTTAATGAAATATTTCACAAAACAATCCAAGTTTCTCTTTTTTTTTTTTTTTTTTTTAATCAAACTATGGCTAACGTTAGTTTAATTGACTTGTAAGCTCATTATAAAAAACACTATACAAACTCAGAAACTAAATAAAACTCACCAAATCCATCTTAATTAGTGTTGTTAGTCATCTAGGTAGTTAGTCCACTGTTAGAACAATCATCAGCTCTGGTTTGGCCTAAATGAACCCTTAATTCACAGAGGTAGATCTGAAAATGCGCTGCACACTGTTTATTCCAGCTGCCTCTCTCTTTGCCTCTCAGCTGTCCACTCAGCTCTCCCTTGTTTTTTGGAGGCAGCTACAGTACGTCAAAAGACATGCAGTTAATGGCAACAAAATAAAAAAGGAAATTACAGTTACAGTAATATTTGAAAGTAATGGCAAGCCTATTTGAAAACAGACTACAACAAAGCTTGTTTGGTCGTTACTGCAAAACCTCGCCTCAGTGAGTTTGAAACTGTTCATTTTATTTATTTATTTAACCTTTATTTAACCAGGAAGTCCCATTGAGACTGAAAATCTCTTTTATAAGAGAGACCTGGCCGAGGTAGCAGCCACTTAAAACACAAATATAATACAAAAATCCACAATAAAACAACAACTATTCAAACATAGTGGCCTCTCAAGAAACACACACATGTCTCCGTTACCACATTCTTTATGATGCCCTTAAATTCATCAATGGATTTAAGGGTTTCTAATTTTCTTTTTGAAGATTGTTCCATGTCCAAGGTGCAGAGTAGGAGAATGCAGTTTCCCCCAGATCTGTTAAAACCCGGGGAACATTAAAAAGCAACCACTTAGAGGAGCGTAGCTGGCAACTACCAGAGCTGACACACAGCAGGGTGCAGAGGTTGGCTGGGAGTTTGCCCAATAATGCTTTATAGATAAAAATATACCAGTGAAGTCATCTGTGAGGAAGAATGCAGTGATGAGTAAGTGACTCATGGTAGTGATGTGTGGTATACTGAATCAAGGCTACGTAAAATGGAGGAGGTTGCATGCATATACAATATGTCACCATAATCAATCACAGACAGAAAACTTGCCGCTGGTCAGTTTGTTTATACGGATGTTTATATGGAAGTTAGCCCGATACAGCTGTTGCAATAGTAATGGTACACAGAAAAAAGGCTGCCACTCTGGCTATCCTGCCACGTGATTTGAATGTCTGTATTATGACTACAACATTTGAAGACTTGCAACCTTTCTCCATTTGAGTCTTTATGTGGATGTGACATTGGGATGAAAAGATAATGGTATCACTTTTAGATTAGGGTGAAGTATTTGTTGAAACCTCATTAGCTGAGTAGACTCTCTGCTTCTTGTCATCAGCCTAAATCTCACCTCACATCGTCATGTCCTGACAGTAAGTGCCTTAATCATGTTGACATGTGTCAGAAGGCCTCAATGGTGCAGAAGACTCATGACATGTCATGTATGAACAGATCTTAGTGGGCTGTAATGATGTCAAACATTGTCAGAACAGGAGGATGGGAGGGGATTAAAGTGTCACTGTGTGAATGGGATGGAAGTAAATTAGTTCATTAAAGGATTCAGGCTGAATGAGGTGCAAGTGAATCAGTGAATTAGTGTCTGAAGGCAAGTGGTGTTCACGTCTGGCTCTTTTAAACCAGGAGAAAGCACTGCGGATTCAAAGAAAGAGAAAGAAATTCAGCTGAAATTAAGTGGAAAAGAGCGTGAGACGCTGTGAGACAGGCAGCGGCAGGGCAACAGGTCCTAACAGGTTCTTATACAGTGCAAAAGATAACAACAGTCACACCTGCAGCTGGAGATGACTTTCATTTCTCTGACAGAATGAAAGTGAACCTGTTTCAGCGTTATTTATAAAGTCAGAGCTGCAGCAGATTTAACCTTTAAAACTCTTAGTACGTTTTTAAATAGAGGGTTCTTGATTTCAGAGCGAGGTGGACCAAAGCAGCTTCTCATTTATTAGCTGATGACTGTTGACTTCGCTCACTGAAATGAAAACTGTCACTGTCAGTATTTATTTGTTAAAGCTAGCTAGTAGTGAAGCTTACATTAGCTCTGTGAGTTGGTTTAAAAAGCCGTCTCTGGCTCGTCCTTGGCAATATATTGATATGTACTGAGACTGTGATATGAGGCTAGATATCATCTTAGATTTTAGGTACTGTAACTGTTGTCTTTGCCTGATTTTCCAGGCTGAATTGCAGCAAAATTATGTAACTTTCTGAACTTGCCAGACTGTTCTAGCTGTGCTATTATTTGCACTCACCCACTTAGTCATTATATCCACATTACTGATGATTATTTTGCAAAAATCTCATTGTGTAAACATATTGTGAAAGAACCAGTAGTCAACCCTACACTATAGTAGCAATATTGATGTAGAGATATTTGGTCAAAAATATCGTGACACTGGATTTTCTCCATATCATCCGGCCCTGTCTCTGCTTGACCTTTTTTTAATTACCGTAAAACTTCAATTAATAGCCTGGGCTATTATTTGCTTAAGCCTATATTTGGGACAGGACTTTCATTCCTTTCACACCAAACTGTCAAGGAAAGATTGGGAAATATGGTCAAATTGTTTATATAAACCAGTCTGAATATTACTTGTTAAAAGTTCGGCTTCAGATAATATGTCAGTGATGAATCATCCATTTGATCTAGCTCCAACAGACAGCGCATCAGAGACAGAGATGAGTCACAGCACTCGAGGATTACAGCACCCAGCATACCGACACAACACCACTTTATCCTGTTAAAACAATCTTCACAACTTGGATTCATTTTTTATAAAAAAACATTTTTGATTCTTTTGATCTGAGGATCCTTACTGACTAAAGAAATATGAATAACTTATAGAGTAATTGAGAAAAGGACACATAATTTGAGGTAGCAAACAACCCGGTTTTAAACATCCAAAGAACTTCTATAAAAAAATTAACTGCTTGGCAACCAGACCAGGCATCTAATTGAGACAGACTTTTAACTGTCAAAATGTGTAGCCACACCTTGCTAGTAAAAGAGACTAGGCTTTTAATTGTTAAGTTTCAGTTGATTGATTTTAAAACAAAAATCTTGTGAAAGAGTCTAAAATATGCACCTGGATACACACATATTATGCTTGAAGACTGAAGTTAGTGCTTCAAGATTGAAGTATAGTTCCTCAGTTGATGATAGGCTGTATGGAGAAAACATGTAAATAAAGAAACAGTATTGCTTTAGTGTTGCAGAGAGCAGCTAGTTTGTCATAATATTGTAAGTATGATCAGGACGAATATGAGCTCAGACTCTTATTGTGTTCCAACGTAACCCTGTTGGATGCTTAGCTATCACACTTGTTTATATTTTCAAACAGTATGTTCCACGTTTAACGTTACAAGAGAAAAGACTTTAACGATGAGGACTAATCAATGTAACGCTGTCTCTGGTAACATCAGATGGCATCGCATGGGTGTAAACATTCCAAAATCTGTCCTGCAGAGCCGCTAATGTTAATCTAACCTCTGACAGCATCCTGAAACGTCCTCCACACAGAGAGGAAGAACCACACAGTGGATATGCTAGTTGTGAATGGAGCTTTTTAATGTAATCTGCAACCCCACAGACTAATGTAGTTTGTTTATGACATGCCAGGTTGTTAGGTAGCAAGCTAGTCAGCCAGACATGCTAAAGATGACAGCTTATGTCAGAGAAGATAAACTGTTCTTTTCTCTCTTACTGTAGTAACGTGCACTACTTCAAGGTGTGGAGAAATCCACAGCTTGACAGATCTGGCATGCCAAGTTACGGTTGCTAAGATAGATTTGACAGTCACTGTCTGGGGGAGGGGTTTATTGAAAAGTCAGTAAATTCTCAGGAAGCTGCTGGATGAACAACAAAAGAAATTTCAAGACCAGCTTGAGCACTGGGGGAATTCTGTTATTTGTATGTTTATTTTCTTTACTTTTTCCTGACTTGTATTTCTCAATCAATCAGAAAAAAATATCAAAAGATTCATATAAAATAATAAAAATAACGGATGTGCTGCCTTCCTTTCTGATTAACAGAATGTTGTTTTTATTGATATATGAGTATTCTAAATCTTCTTGTTTTCCTCTGCAGCCAACCATCTTCAGTCCAGTAACAATAAAACTGAATCCTGGTGAGTTGACTTTTATCTTATTCCCCACATTCAGTTATTAAACTCTGTGTATGTGTGTTAATGCTTCTGTTTGTATGTCAATGTGTAGTTTTGGTCTTGCGGCGGATCAGAAGAGGAGTCAGTTTAAAGAGAGAGGAAGAAGTATGAACTCCACAGGATCAGGGAAAAGCAGCACTGTGTCCAGGTAAGTTCACTTCATCGGCCGTCAGTCAGACTCATGGAGGGTTCTGCAGGAAGTAATGCAGGTAGAGCGGGGCAGAGACACAGAGGGCTGTTATTAAATTTCAAACCAATTAAATGACACCGCAGAGAACTCGAGGTGCTGTTTTTGAGACCCAGGAATTTAGAGCAGAGGTTACTAACCAGGGGGTCCCAAGATAAAATCTGATGTGACACAACATGATTAAAGAAAATAAAAATAATGCTTAAGTTTCAGAAAATAACCATTATAGACTGGATCCTTTCCACCTCATATGGTCCCAAAAAATCCACAAAATTATACACAATAAATACTGTCTTCCCTTAAAGTTAGAATCTGTAACATTTTCGTGAAACCCCCGATTTTAAAATGTTACATAACTTTTTTCCAGCAATATCCATTCTACCCCTCTTTAAAGTTGTTTTATTGTTAGTGGCGGAGTCTGCCATCCCCACGAGGGATTCACAGGAAACACTGCAGCATGAAATTCAGCATTACTGTTTGTAATTTTATATCACTGATATCAGCCTCACTGTTTGTTGTTCACTGTCAGAGCGATATTAAGTTACTGCTCATGCTAACATAACATTTCCTCTTGTCGCTGCTTCTCATTGAAAGTTTAAACTAGCAAAACACAAGGTAGCTTTTATCGTGAAACCGTAAAATGCTATGTATATGTATTTAAATATCAACATCGGTATGGGCCTCCAAAGTCCAGTATTTGTCAGGCTATGCTCGGACATTGCTTCATTTTTAGTGGTCAAAAGCAAAAAGCATTGGGAACCAGTAATTTAAGACTGTGTAAGAAGTATTTGAAGATGTAAAGACATTCACACAGTTGATTTAATAAACCATTGTGGTTAGTTTCTGGCCAAAAGGTTGTATTTTCTCCCACTCTCCCACTTATGTTACCTACAACAGTGAAGACATGAACCAGACTTTTCTCAGAGCTCCTCCCAGTGAAATTTGAGTGGTTTGAATTAGAGACGCTCCAATGCCATTTTTGCTTTCCTGATACTGATACCTGAACTGAATCGGCCAATACTGAGTGCCGATCCGATACCTTTTATTAAGAAAAAGAGTAATAGTTCTATAATACCAACCCTGAAACTAAAGCATTGTAAACTGTGCCTGTTGTCTTTTACTGGTGGTCCATTGTTAAATGCAACCAATATAGCTGACTAAATCATGTGGTATCAGATCAATGCGTGGACTGGCGTACTTGCTGATGCCCAGTCCAGCACTATAGGCAGTAACAGAGGCATTTCACACACTAGTATAGGTATTGGAGCAACTCTAGTTAGAATAAGAACAGCTCACAGTGTCACTGCTCTGTTAGAAACTTGGAGGGTTAAACTTTTAGAGATCTTGAAGCAGGTGTGGTCAAAAAACTATTTTAAATGTATGTTCATGTCTGAGGTGTATCACCAGTACATTTGTGTTTGGAGGATTCATTGTCAAACTGAGTGTCTGGGATGGAAAGTCTTACAGAAGGCTGATTTATTGGAGGTGGTGGGTAAGCGGGGCAAGGTGATGAGGTAAGAGTGGGGGCTGATGGTGCCAGGGTTGGGCGTCGTTCCAGAAATTGAAGGGGGAATGGTGGACTGTGTGTGTAAAGGTTCATAAGGGGATATGCATCATGGGTGATCTATCCATGTTGTTGATACAAGGTTTGAGAACCTCCTGGGTTGTGGTCAGTGTGACAGAGTTTTGCAGCAGGTTGAAAGATTTTTCAGATTTCTGAGTGTGTCAGGAAGAAAAGCAATTAATTTGTTGAGAGCACTGATGTATGCAAACACCTCAGAGCCTCATAATTAAATGATAGGTTCACATTTTAAGATAGCAATAATGATGTGCCTGTACTGACAATGAAGTTGTTATTGCTTGCTGTCGAATTTGACGAATTTGTATTATTTTTAGCCATTAAAAGCTCATAAACAGGACATTTCTGAGATCCATATAAACTCCTTTTTCCCCTCTAACTTAAACCTGTTAAGCATTTACTATGTTTTCTTGTCGACCAATAAGCCTACAGTTGGTAACTTTTATAAAAACAACTTTCTGTCATACTTACTGAAATGGTCACTAGATCCACACTGTAGTGCATGAAACAGATATTCTGTGAAAAACAAATTATGTTACTCCTCCTGGCCTTACTACATGTGAACGAAAGCAACCAATCAGAGCCGAGGAGTCTCTAAAGCAGCTGTCAGTCATATCAAAAACTGCTTGTGAAGTGTCAAACTAGGTAGCTCTCATCAAATATGAATCAAGGATCTGTCACTGCATTGCATATTTCTTGCCTCAGATACATATTATAGTGTACAGTTTAGCTGAAAAAGAGAATGTTTGCTTTGGCTGGCGGGCAGTACTTCATTTGGATCCACTGTTTTCAACATGGCGGCCTGGTCACAAATACTCTCATTTTACTGCTTAACAGTAAAATTTGTTTCTAGGACAATTGAGATGACAAATAGACAATGCAGTGACAGACTCTTGAGTCATATTTGATCAGTGCAGCCTAGTTTGACAGTTTGTCTGCAGCTCGCGAACAGTGATTGACATGATTGAAGCTGTGTTAGGGGCCGTATACATGACCCTTCTTTAGCAATGTGGAAAATGCAAGGTCGGGTACTCTGTGCTACTCTTGTGCCTTTTTTGCTCTAGCGTTCAAGAGCATGTTGGCAGGTTGTGTCTGAGATTGCAAAGCAACCTTAATGAGCATTAAGGTGCCTGTTAATGACGCTGTCGGCAAAGCAGTAATGATTGTGCTAAGTGGCTAATGGGCATGTAGCTACTTCCATGTTTCAGATGATACGTCATGTTTGTAGTCGACCAATGAAGATGAGTTTACATATCACCTTGGGTTCGTCCTTCACCTTCTCAAAATGATCCCACACTTTGGATTTCCTGCCCGACATGTTATTAACTAGCCTGTGGAATAACTGCAGGTACCAGCCCTGGAAATTAGGGGCTGTACACGTGCCACGTCTTTACTGCCTGGACAATGTGAGGTCGTGCACTAGGCGCTACTATTGTGTGCTTTTTTTTGCCCGCTTTCAAGAGCATGGTGGCAGGTTGCATCTGAGGTTACCTTAAAAAGCACCGTATCATAGCCTATTTATCTGAAATCCTGAGTGCAGAGTTGACGGTGTCGCTCTGGCGTTTGAGCATGCCTGAAAACAATGAATTTGAGGGCACCAAAAAAGCAGCATGTGTTAGGCGCCTTAGGGGCCCCAGGGGCTCTGATTGGTTGTTTTTGTTCACATGTGGATTCTTGCAAATGCCATCAGAAGCACCATCATGAGGAGGAACATGATTTTTTTCCTCAGACTGTCTCATGCACTACTGTCTGGATACAGTGAAAGTTTCATTAAATATGACCAAAAAGTAATTTTTATAAACTTTACTTAGTGAAGCTTTGAACAGGCAATTTTTATAAATGACTAGCATTTATTAATAATACCATAATTAGCAGAAATGTCTGTGTGGTCTTTCTGAAAGCTGCTGCAAAATGAGCTCTAACTGGGTCATTTTGTGCCTCAACAATCACAAACAACTTTTGTGGGTTCTTGAAGGGGCTGATCATCTGCTGCTGGTCCGGTTTTCTCTGGTCTTTACTTCCTCTAGGTGGGGCTGTTGAGGAGCAGGGAAGGGGCGGAGCATTGTTGCATTCTCCAGGGCGGCTGTGCCATCACACTTATTAACTGCCCTACTAACTAAATAATTAACTATCTCACTAACAGACTAACCCACTGTCATAAAGCTATGCGTGCAAAGTACTAACTGGCTGTCTGTGTTCTCGTAGTTTTTCAGAGGTGTTGGAGCAGTCAGACGAGCACCCAGAGGAGACCTTCCTTAACCTGCGGTTAGGCTGACTAAACTAACCAGCAGACTAACTCACCAGCTAACTGACTAAGTGACTGACTTACAGACTGACTTACTGACTGTATGCCTGTGTGTGTGTCCACAGTGTGTCAGAGCTGCTGGATCTGTACGAGGAGGATCCAGAGGAAATCCTCTTAAATCTTGGTTTTGGTCGAGAAGAACCCGACCTAGCCTCAAAGGTTCCTGCCAGGTTCTTCAACAACTCCTCCATAGCACGAGGCATTGACATCAAGGTACTGACGACAGCAGCAACAAAATCTAAGTGAAAACATATGTGGCTTGTTTTCAAAGACAAACTACACATCAGCACATTAACATACTCCTTCACAACCTCACAGTCCTGTCTACTTCAACTAATTGGACTAAATATAATCCAAGAAGACCTCATAATGATGATAGGAAAAATTCAGTCAATAGGATTGAATCCTCTGGGAACCATGACCATAAGTGGAGCTGTAGAGATATTTTACTAGATAAGTGAAAACTTTGATATGCAGGTGGCATTACAGGAAAAGTCGGGATAATGAAAGTCATTTGGATTCATCCTCTTGGGACGAATGCAGGATTTATATGTCTGCATCGATTTGACACAGTACCTACGGCATAGGCTCTGCATTTACGTATATCCTATGCTGTAGCCTGACGTGAACCTCCCCAAAAATGTAACTACAGGTCGTGGCAACGCAGACCTCCTGTCTATTTTTGTAAGCTGAAACCATTTCCCTCAGTGGAAACAAAGCTTTTATTTACTTTAATTTCAAGAGTTAAGAAACAAGAAATTGTGAAGACAATAAAGCCTCCACAAAATAGCATTTTAAGAGGATGAACAGAGGAAATCTCCGCTTGTTGCTAGGCTAATTTATACAATGTAAAATGCCATGGGCTTGTGCTAAAAACATTAGCATGTTGTATTTGTGGAGAAAATGTGTCCAATAAAAGACAAGTGCTTTGTCTGTGAATGCTGCAAGTTATAGTGAAGCTGATTTGTGTACTTGTGTACATGTTCAATGTGTGTTTTAGGTGCGTTTTGAATCAACCAACTAAAGCACTTAAAACCCTGCTTCCGACTAGTGTTTTGGAAGTGTAACTGCAGAGTGACACAAACACACCACCGCACAAGTATAAATGCTCACGGTGGTGTAGGCCACGTGTGTAGGCTCTGCATAGCGCTGATGCATAAGTATAAATCCTGCTAATGAATGTCTGTACAAAACTTCCATTCAATAGTTGTTTGGATATTTTAGTTTAAACTAAAGTGGTGAACTGCTGCTAGAATTGCTTAACAACACCAAACTCCCAAAAAATCTGTCCATTTATTTTGATGATTTGTGGGGAAAGCCTCACTTTTGGTCATTTTACCCATGACAACACACCAGATTAACTTTTTTGGAGTCTGCTGCCTGCCTTACACCATTAATTACTGATACTGTTTTATAATGATATCATTTCCTGCTGTGGTCCACCTGCAGGTATACCTGGGAGCTCAGCTACAGCGCATGGAAGTGGAGAACCCCAACTACGCCCTGACTAGTATGTACCTCTCCACGCTGTCCCCAGTTCTCCTGCATCTGTTGTGGTGTTTATGGCTGTACTCTGCTCTCTACATCCTCAGCAGTGTGTTCGACTGTAGTCAGTTTCAGAGGGGCAACAACACCCGAACACCTCAGTGCTGCAGATCGAGGGTTAATATGTCAGTGATGAGGAACTCAGGGGTTCATGTCCTGAAACTGTAGACAGAGGAAGTGAAGCTCAAAGACTTTGTGTGTGTGTCCTGTTCCCAGTATTATTATGGTGTTTTATGGGGTCCTTTGGCTCTTTAGCTGTTCTGCCAAGTGCCTGGACAGCACCGCTAGCACGGACAAAGATCTGTTTGTCCCAGACACACACACACACACACTGCACACATACACACAGACCTGCTCCGCTAACATTCTGGCCTCTTTTTGTTTTCAAACTCGTGTTTGCATGAAGGTACTGGCTCCCTAATTGAACACACACACACGGCTGATTCTCCTCTCCTTGACAGTTTAACTGTCTTGGTGCTGTTTAAAAGAAAAAAGCTAAACCAAAGATCCTCTGTGTGTGAGAAGATGAATCACTACAGGGCTGAAAGCACTCAAATTCTGCAGACATTTGATTTTACACTTTGATGGCTGTTTGGCCAGTTTGAAACTCATCACTTTTCCCAGTTTGTTTGATGAGACAATTATTGAGTGTCCTTAAGCCGAGCGGTCTCAACATTTTCACTTCAACGTGGTAAAAATAGGTTTCGACTAGAGTTTGTGTCTCAGTGTGTGGATTTTTTTATGTTGTTCAGTGCAGCAGATTTATGTTCTTGCCACTATGCACCAGCACTAGGTTGCACCAGCTCCGTGTACATGAGGGCATAAATTCAACACTAGAGGCTTTGTAACTATGAGTGATTTCTTAACTAAATCACCTACTAGTTCCTCTTTTCGATAGTCTTGGCTTGGCTCGGCTTGGCACAGCAGGGATTTGCATTTCCACTACAACAGGGCTACCTTCTTCAAGGTGTGTCTTAAACTGATGACACCTTGTCTTGAGTGATGATGTTTGAAAGCAGAGTCGCCTGTTATTTTTGCTGCAGGCATTTTTCCATCACAGAGCAGGGCATGTGTGACATTTTACGATTTAGATTGACCCTAGGAGCATACAGTCAGGTCCATAATTATTTGGACAATGATACAGTTGTTGTCATTTTGGCTCTGTACACCACCACAATGGGTTTTAAATGAAACAATGAATACCTGCTTAAAGTGCAGATTCTCAGCTTTCATTTAAGGCTTTTTTCAAAAATGTAGTATGAACCGTGTAGGAATTACAACCATTTCTTCACACAGTCCCCCAACTTTAAGGGCTCATAAGTATTTGGACAAACTAACATAATCATTAATTAAACAGTCAGTTTTAATACTTGGTTGCAAATCCTTTACAGTCAATGACTGCCTGAAGTGTTGGACACATAGGCATCATCAGATGCTGGGTTTCTTCCCTGGTGATGCTCTGCCAGCCCTTTACTGCAGCCGTCTGCACTTCCTGCTTGTGTTTTGGGTGTTTTGCCCTCAGTTTTGGCTTCAGCAAGAGAAATGCATGCTCAGTTGGATTCAGGTCAGATGATACGACTTGGCCATTGCAGAACATTCCACTTCTTTGCCTTAAAAATGTCTTTGGTTGCTTTTGCAATATGCTTCAGGTCAATGTCCAACTGCACTGTGAAGCATTGTCCAATGAGTTTTGAAGCATTTGGTTGAATATGAGCAGATAATGGTGCCCCAAACACTTCAGCTTTCATCCTGCTGCTCTTGTAAGCAAGACAAGACTTCACTAGAATAAATACAGAGGGTTTATCACAAGATGCAAACCATTGGTTAGCCTTAAAAATGGAAGGCCAGATTAGAGTTTGTCAAAAACCATCTAAAAAGCCTGTACAGTTGTGGAACAGCATACTATGGACAGATAAAACAAAGATCAACTACCAGAATGATGGGAAGACAAGAGAAGGAAGAAGGGAAGGAACTGCTCATGATCCAAAGCACACCACCTCATCAGTGAAGCATGGTGGAGTTACTGTTATGTCATGGCCATGTATGGCTGCCAGTGGAACTGGTTCTCTTGTATTTATTGATGATGTGACTGCTGAGAAGAGCATCAGGATGAATTCTGAAGTGTTTGGGGCACCATTATCTGCTCAGATTCAACCAAATGCTTCAAAACTCATTGGACATTGCTTCACAGTGCAGATGGACATTGACCTGAAGCATACTGCAAAAGCAACCAAAGATATTTTTAAGGCAAAGAAGTGGAATGTTCTGCAATGGCCAAGTCATATCATCTGACCTGAATCCAACTGAGCATGCGTTTCCCTTGCTGAAGCCAAAACTGAGGGCAAAACACCCAAAACACAAGCAGGAAGTGCAGACGGCTGCAGTAAAGGGCTGGCAGAGCATCACCAGGGAAGAAACCCAGCATCTGATGATGCCTATGTGTCCAACACTTCAGGCAGTCATTGACTGTAAAGGATTTGCAACCAAGTATTAAAACTGACTGTTTAATTGATGATTATGTTAGTTTGTCCAAATACTTATGAGCCCTTAAAGTCGGGGGACTGTGTGAAGAAAAGGTTGTCATTCCTACACGGTTCATACTACATTTTTGAAAAAAGCCTTAAATGAAAGCTGAGAGTCTGCACTTTAAGCAGGTATTCATTGTTTCATTTAAAACCCATTGTGGTGGTGTACAGAGCCAAAATGACGACAACTGTATCATTGTCCAAATAATTATGGACCTGACTGTATGTAACTGTTTAGTTGCAACTTAGATATGTTGCAACTATTCTCCATGATGCAACAGCTTTTATTTTAGCAATGCATAAACCACAACTTGTTAATAATTTACATTATAACTAGGTTAAGTTTGAACTTACACACAACGTGTAACTGGCTGCTGTCTTCCTAGTCTTACTGGCCTTATGTGGGGCGCCTATTATTTTGTTGGTTTCATCTTTGGGTGTGTTTGTTAACTTTCATTTGCTATTGCTGGCTGTAGTTTAAACAAGTTCAAAGTTGTGGTCCTGTTCAGTTCACACAGCCTAACATATGTTTGTCAAAGTTGGGAACACACGTCCACATATGAATGTAAATAAAACGTTATTTGCATTCTTCGCATACCAGATAATTTTGTTGGTCTGGAATCTGATTTAACTGATTTAAACACAAATTAAAACATATGTTTTCACTCAATTTGTATAATTAATGCATCTTATGAATAGTATAAATAGAAATGATCAGGTTCTACACAATAATAATAATAAGTACATGTCATAGTAAAACAAATTGTAATAGTGTAACTATCCAAATGAGTCTCCACTGTGACTCTGCATTTTGGATGAAGACATACTTTATCAACAAACATTTTGAGCAGCCACACAGACAGCTGTTGTGACATGATATTGCTATAAACACATAAAACAATAAAACACAAATACCAACACATTCTGACCGTGACCATTACAACCAGCTGACCCCAGAGCTGTGCAGGAGCGCTGATGTAACATCAGCTGCTGTTTGTCAGACTGCTGTAGATGAACGTCTCTTATTTTCTCCGAGCTCTCCTTCCTTATATTGTGAAACTGTTCAAACATTTGCTGAAACGCAGGTGCAGGGTGATCACAAGCAGCAGATGTTCACCTATACAGAGCGACCTGTTCTCACTTATGGAGGAAATAAAAAAGACAAAACGATGAAGAGCACTAAAACAGCCACATAAAGGTTGAAATAATGTGTCAGATACGGTCACTGTTAAGGACTGACACTGTTAAACTAAGTGGTTTCTGATCACTCTTTCCGTTTGTTTGGGATTGACATTTGCTTTTTTAGTCTACTGGGTCACCAGAGGTGTTGACCTGGATGTTGGATGTCTAAAACAAACAACCTGACTCATTGCATTATGGACATTCATACACTTTCCATCGGCTTATCTCAAGATCACGGCCTAATTTTCTTGTTATCTGCAGATAACAACTAAATGAGTCACACACTGCTCGTTTGCACGCACACTGAAGCTCAGTGAACTGAGTCAGCAGGAGGAGAGCGGGCCAACATTTAGCCTGACGGGCAGGAAAATAGCTCATGATGACAATAAACTAGGGAACGAGGACACATTAAAAGGCCCGCTGAGAGAAAGTGGAGGGGCTCAAGAGGCGCATGTTCACTGTCAAAATGCTCTTTACTGTATCACTGAATCACTAATGTTCATCCAACTTTGGCACCCCTCAGTGGAAGTATTATAAAAGGCAGCAGTTCAGGATCCAACCAAGGGATGAATAGGCTGAAAGCAGCACATACAGTAGTGCTGCAGAGCAATGTCGCTCACCTCTCCCATGGATTACAACAGCAAAAGGGTTGAGATAAGGCGGGAGACACGCCTTTATAGGTGGGGTACCCTCAAAGGTGAACATAGGGCTACAGAAACTGAGTATCAAATGTTCCACATATTGAGTATGGAGGCCTAAGCATGTCAGGTAATAACAACTGAATTTTTGACTTTGTTACACATATTACTGCTGTATAACTGACCCTGTTCCAACTATACCTAGTTCATTTTTTTGATATCACCTTGGTTGAGGTCAAGAGATCCTCCTCCTGAGACCTCATATGAGGACATCACATGTTAGGTTTACTTGACCTTACACTTTATTCTACTTAAGTTAGACCTGTTGTTCTCGTTCGTGGACACTTTTTTTTGTGCCATCTAGTGGTAGTAAGTAGACAATACACTAATCCATGTAAAAACAAGATAGCAGCCATCTCTGCCAAGTCAGTCTGTAGCCGATCCTGACACAAAAGCGGACAAGGTCCAAAACCTGAACAGATTTTATGGTTGAAACTTGTTTATTTTACTGATGTCCCGTTTGAGGACACTGGGACTTAATTCTCATTGGCAATGTTTAGTTTTTGTACTTATCGGGTCCTACTGATCCCAAATAGCTAAAAGAAATTAAAAATGCATAC